AAAGATAACTTAAAAAATATCACCTGGCTGGAAGAGGCCATCTTGCTAATATAAAAAATCAGTGAGACCAAGAAACTGTATCATTGATATGTAGAATTTTTGCAAATAGTTATCTCTCCAAATCATTAGAAAATGTTCAAAGATAAAAAATAAAGTAAAATATGGTGGTGGTCCCTAAACTATTTTAAAGGCAAGTAGCTTAGTCTAAGCTATTTTTTTCACTCATAGTAATTATCTTCCCCTCAATTGCCCTTTAAAAATACATGAAACAGTACAATAGCGAGAATCAAGAATCAAAGAGCACAAACTGCATTTTTAAGAACAGGAAAAAAAAATCTCTAGTGCTGAAAGATATAGTACAAAGGAGATTTCTTTGGGGACATTAATCAATTGGATTATATAATTCATTATGAAGATTTCTCTTTTCTATTACGAGGAGAGTCTGCTCCATTTGAAGTTACTGTTCCATTTACACCATTTTCTAAAAAGAAAAAAGAATCAGTGTTACCCTCGTTCATGAAGAAACACAAGTATCTTTATACATAAAGGTACCTTCAGAGAAGAAAATTTAAAATCCAATATATACTTTGATGCCCTTATATAAAATGTATTCACCAGTGCGTAATCTTTACTAGCATTTAACCCATCATAAAACCTGATTTAAACACTGAATTCAAAGAAGCAAATTAAAGGGAAAGTAACTATAATGTTATTAGATCTGAATAATAAAAAAAATTAACTACTATTGAAAGCAGAAAAAAGTGACTAAAGATTAACTCTAAAAAACAATTATAAGAATTTTTAAGTAGTCTTTAGAGCAGTGCTTTTGGTAGAAATAAAAACCCTTTCACATTTGATAGCAGATAAAGTTCTTGGGATTATGTTTCCTTATAACATACTAAAAGTTGGCATTTAGGATTGCTTATGTTTAAGAGTGCTTGGCTCAGTGGTTGAGTGTCGATCTATGAACCAGGAGGTCATGGTTCGATTCCTGGTCAGAGCACATGCCTGGGTTGCAGGCTTGATTCCCCACGAGGGGTGTGCAGGAGGCAGCCAATCAATGATTCTCTTTCATCATTGACTAGAGGTCCAGTGCACGGAATTCGTGCACGGGTAGGGTCCCTAGGCCTGGCCAGTGATAAGGGCCGATCGGGGCCTTCCGGCTGCCAGCTGGGGCCTTCTTCATTCTGTGCCACCCACTGGTGGTCAGTGCACATCATAGTGAGCAATCGAGCTCCCGGTCAAATCCCCGTGGGGACAATTTGCATATTAGCCATATATATATACATATGTGTATGTGTGTGTGTGTATATGTATGTATATATATATATATATATGTTTCTATCTATTTCTCCCTCTGAAAAAAACAACACTCTAGGTAATGGAAGGAGACATGACTTGGGGTAGTGAACACACAATACAATATATAGATGATGTGGTATAGAACTGCACACTGAAACCCATGTAATTTTATTAGCCAAAGTCACCTCAATAAATTCAATAAAAAAGTAAAAACACAAAAAATAAAGATCACTCTCGATTAGACAGCTTTACTGGTGAATCCTTCCAAACATTCAAAAATAATGCTGATGTTACACAAAGGACAAATTGCCCAAGATTTTCTGTAAAGCTAGGGTAATCCTGATACCAAAATCTAACAAGACTATTTTACCAGAAGAAAAAAAAGGAGAGAATTACAGGCCAATCTTTTACATGAACACAAATATAAAAATCCTAATAAAATATTAAAAGAAATCAATCTAGCAAAAATGATGTTATCATCATCAACTTGGGTTTATGCCAGGAATGCAAGATTGGATTTATATTTGATAATTAATACATTAAAAAATACACATCATTATCCTTTATGAATATAAATGTGAAAATGCTAAAAAAATAGTAGAAAACCAAATCAAGCAACATCTTAAGAGTATTATATACCATGACCAAGTGAGATTTATCCCAGGAATGCACTGTTGACTGAACATTAAAAAATCAATTAATATAAGCTCTGATATCAATAGAATAAAAGACAAAAACCATTTGATTATCCCAGTAGATGAAGAAAATGCAAGTGACAAAATATAAAAGCCTTTCATAATAAAAAATGTAATTGCATAGAAGGGAATTTTCTCAACCCGATAAAAACCATATAGAAAAAACCCACAGGTAACACACTTAATGGTGAAAGACTGGATGTTTTCCCCCTAAGATGAAGAACAAGGGGAGGAAGTCTGTCTGCTCTTGCCACTTCTATTTAAAAATTTTCTTGAAGTTCTAGCCAGGGTATTTGGTGAAAAAAATGAAATAAATGCATCCAGATTGGACAAGAAGTAGTAAAACATCCTCTATTTATAGATGACATGATCCTGTAAACTGAAAATGCAAAAACTACTAAAATAATAAAATAATCTAATAAGTTCAGCAATGTTTCAGGATATAAGATCAATATGCAAAAATCAACTGTACTTCTACATGCTGGCAATGAAAAATCCAAGACTGATATTAAAAAGATAGTTCTATTTGCAATAGCATAAAAAAAGAATAAAATGCTTAGAATAAATTTAACAGAAGCACAAGACAAACGACGAGAACTAAAATTTAGCTGAAAGAAATCAAAGATCCCTCCCATCCCCCAAATGGAAAGATATTTGGTTCATCCAAGGCAGTCTACAGATACAAGGTAGTCCACATCAAAAGCTCAGTGAGCTTGTTTGCAGAAATTGACAAGGTGATCATAAAATTCATATGGAAATGCAAAGAACATAAATAATAACATAAAATATTTTAAAATAACATAAATATGAACATAAAAAACATAAAACAGAATAAAAGTGGATGACTCACATTTCCTAATTTCAAAACTTACTATAAAGCTACAGTAATTCACACAGTGTGGGTACTGGCATAAGACTAAGCATAGAGATTAAGGAAATAGAACTGAGAATCCAGAAATAAATTCTTTCTTTTAAAATCAACTGATTTTCAACAAGAGCATCAAGACAATTCAATAGATTAGTCTTTTCAATAAAAAGTGGATATGCAAAACAATGATTATAAAGTGGTGTAGCCACTTTGAAAAAACAGTTTTAGCAGGCCCCCCAAATGGTAAACTGTATTTACCATATGACCTAGCAATTATACTCATAGGTATATACCCAAGAGAATGAAAAACAGGTCATCAGACAACAACACGTACACAAATGTTTACTGCATTACTCATAACAGCCAAAAAGTGGGAACAACCCAGATATTCATCAATTAATAAACATTGTATATCCATACAATGGAATATTTGGCCATAAAAATCAATGAGTAGCAGCAGTACATGCTAAAACATGAATGAACCTTAAAAACATACTAACTTAAAGAAACCAGTTACAACAGATCACATATTGTATGATTCCATTTATATGAAATGTCCAGAACAAGATCAAGCAATCAGATGTTATTAAATAACACACACACACACACAAACTATTCCATTTGGAACGCAAGGGCAGATGGGAAAGAGGTTTTGTTTTTTTTTAGTTTGAGTAAGATGCTTGAAAGCACAAACTATCACTGAAACTGCGCATATACTAATACACTGGCTTATAGTGGTTTGGAATAAACAAGTGGGGAAAGCTTCTGAGTCGACAGCTTTTGAGGGAAATAACTGACCCTAGGAAACCACTAACCTATAGAATGGGGCAAAGATTACCTTGCCTCTAATTTTGGTTAAAAGTAGAATACAATTTTCTCTATCGGATTTTAAATCTTAGTAACATTATAAATAAGTGCCAAAACATTTTTTTTAGTGTTTTCTACTCCAGGTTTTTCATTGCTTACTGAATACCAACCTGTTCCTTTTCTAGATCTGCCCTTTGTCACTGTTGGCT